ACAAGATACGATTTTCTCCAACTCAATGACCTCTAAGTATAAACTCCATAAAATTTGATTTTTCCAGTTTTGATGATCTTTTCAGCTTTCTGAAAATGATATACTTTAGCATTACAATTCCAAGGTAAATTTGCATACTGAGTTCGACGCTCATGTTGAAAGTACTCAAGACATATCATTTTCAGAAAGCTGAAAAAATCATCAAGACTGGAAAAATCAAATTTTATGGGGTTTATACTTGTAAGGCATTGAGTTGGGACAAATCGTATTTTGTGCGACCTGAAAGCCCATATCGAATAGGTATGAAAAATACATGAAAGCGACCTCGAGAATTATAAAAAAAGACGAGCGAAAACAGGCAAAAACTCAAAAATCCCCACCGGTATCTCGAAATTTTCGATTTCAGTTTAAAAGCTATGGAAGTTTTCATTTCACCATTCGACAGATAATGCAAAGGCGAGCCGAATGCATTATTTGAAAGTGTTTTTTTATTTCGTTCCGTGGCAAAATCTACCTATGGCAAAAGGGGTTTTTGGAAATCCTCCTCAAAATCTTCAAAACATTTTGAAACTTTTTTGGCGATACCTCGAGAAAGTCCTAACTTTTTACTATATATTCCATAAAAAATTCAAGGTTCAATACTGGTTTATATAGGCAAAAGCTTAGTGTTACTGGATCCCTAAAACGCAAAAAAAAGCAAATGTCGAGATTTGGCGTTCTATGCTGCCGATATTTTCAAACTTTTTAAACTCGATTTACGCTAACTCCACTCATGGGTCATTCATTTGAAAAGGGTTCCAGCTTATGCGAACAAAGTCGATGTAAACGTGGTACGAACTCCATGGAAACCCCCTACTGTCACAGGAAAAACAGAAGACGAGTGCGTTTTGAAAAAGGCATGTGGTGGTGCAATACATTTGGTATTAATGAACACTCAAGTGTCACTCAACACTGTCTCTGTTGCTATTCCTGGCAATGTTTTGACAGCCACATTCAGAGATGGGCAGATCACCACTTATTATTAAATATAGCTGCTGTTAAATTGTTTTAAGTTCTACTTAAACAAGTCGATCTTTGGGTCAAATATGATTGGTACGGAATGATGAGACCCACCAAGAGTATTGCTTTTAAAAAGAACAACGACGATGCATCCGTAACACTCGAAGATAGACCTGAATGGCGATCAAAACCTAATTGGTGAGAATGAATGCAAGATGTATGAGATAGAGAAGTCATAAATGCTGATATTGCGATACACTTTCACTTTAGAGTATCACAAATGATTCTTTTGAATACAACACAGCTCTTCGTATCCAGATATGATACGATTGCTTAACAAAACCTCTCTCTACTAGAGATTTTCGGCGAATCATGCACTTTACCCTTAAAATATTAATGCAAATTCATATAGAAAACTTCTTCTTTACAGGTTACATCAGAAATCAGGTAAGTATGGATGAGTTCTATTAAACTTCTAACGATTTATTTTTTACAATAATAATTATTTTGTTCTCAAAGAATTATCAGCTTAAATAGAAGAGAGTTAGAAAGTGTAGCGATCACAGTAAGAAGAAACGATAGCACAAAAAAAATAAGAACGGTAGAAAACAAAACAAAAGGGCAGAGCGCCAAGATCCTGCAGTTAATGTGTTAGTAATTGAACAAAATTTTTCCATTATTGATTTATGGATAATTTTTGATTCTTCTTCATTTATTTTCTTAATTTGATCAGGATGAATACCAGATGCAAATAGATTAAGTGCTTGATGATGAGCACGAATTCTGATTTCGTTAGCTTGAATTACTTCACCATCGCACGCCCAGTTGCCTAGTTCTTTTTGCCGAGTAACGATTGGACGAATAACAACTTCAGTAGCTCGATACCGCTCAACATTAGATAATTCTTCAATTTGTCGACCATCATTAGCTACGCGATGAAGAAATCGAAAGAAGCCTAGACGCCATGAACGCTTCACAAGAATCAAATCGAATGAGCCATCATCTAAAAACAAATTATTCCTTCAGAGCATAATTCGAGCTTAAATCTGTTATTCGAGCTGTTAAATCTCGGAAAGAAAACATCCACTGTCGTAAATATAAGTCTATATAATGGACAAGTTTTAAGTAATAATAGATTCATAGTGTGTGTCTAGGGCCATTTAGGAGCTAAGACATGACAAAAGAATATAAAAATACTTAATTTGTCAACAATGATTGAAAAAAAGCACACATACAATGTTTTTGCAAAAAACTGTGAATGAAAAACCTTTCTAAAACAACACGCTCTCACTATTCCTCCAATTTTTTTGTGTTGATACGCTTGAATAGATGATCGATGAAGCTCTCGTATGTTGCAATTTATTCCGCGTGAAGACTTCTGTACAAAGAGTTTTATGATTCATCACTAAATGTGACTACATTTTGGCCACTTATATCGGAAGTTATATATGAATTGGTAAAAACAAAAAAAATATAATACCAAAAGCCAAAATGCAGAGTAATGATTTCAAATCTAGTCAGATTTGAAATGAAACCGATACGAATGATCAATTAAAAAATCAGTAAAGAGACTCATTTGTAGAGGTGCTACCTTACTTTTACCAATTACTACATTATCCTGTAGAAGTAATAATCGTTTGTTACTTATTACCGGTGAAAAGGTAATAAATTTTACTTTTATTAAATTTACTTCTATTATTTTTCGTCTTATTAGTAATAAGCAAAGTAATAAAAGATTATTACCTGAAAAAAGTAATAAGTAATAAAGTGATAAGATTTATTACTTGTTAAGTAATACATTTTAGTACTTATCACTTGGTAAAGAACAGTAAAGTGACACTCCTACTCGTTTGTTAACATTTAACTTATTTAAAGGCAATAGTTTAAGAACAAATATTAGTAATACAGCAGCGTGTTTGAATTTCGTTATTTTAATTTTTTAATTGTTATAAAATGTACAAATTAGTTTCTATTTATCGACGTTTCGAGAATACTTCTCATTAACAAGAAAAGACACATATGACAAGATTTACACACATAGAATTATTTACACATAATATTAGACACATCTCTCTTATTATATGTGTCTTCTCTTGATAATGAAAATTGTATTCTCGAAACGTCGATAAATAAAAAATAATTTGTACATTTTATAACAATTAAAAAATTAAAATAATGAAATTTAAACACGCTGCTGTATTACTAATATTTGTTTTTAGACTCATTTGTTAATCCAAAATTTGAGAAATAATTTATATAAGAAAACAGATTGCCTCTCAATTTTTTCTCCAACCCTCAAAAAATCACTTGTTTACATATTATTTTCATACTTAAATGAACGGATGGGGACATTCCATATTTGCTGTCTTCACAACGACAAGGCATATTAAGACAATTGATTGTTTTGTAATAATCTTCACGTTTGATTTGGAGTGGTAAAGATGATTTTTCAGAATTGATTCTTTCGTCCACTTCAACATTTTTGCCAAATATCTCTCGTCGTTTTACAGAATTACCAAATACATTTTCATCATGATTCTCGACCGGCGCTTTTGCACTACATTTTTCTGATGCTTGAGTTATTGTTACTTCTGTATGGTACGATTTATTGCGAATAAACTGGACAAAACCGGCCAGACTATAGCGCAATGGACCAAAAAATCGCCAATGATCAGACTGTTCAATAATATTACCAAAAAAGCCGTATGCAAACATCGTTGCCATAAAACGCACAAAGCCACGTTCACTATGTGCCTAATAAACAGAAATTGATTTTATACATACTTGAGAGAAGTATTCTTACTGTGGCTATATCGATTAAAAATGATTCACCGACGATAATTTGTAGAACGCTAGTAATTGGATCATTGTAACCAGTAGTCCCGAAAGCGATCGCATCTGTGGATCCAGCAGGAATGACACCAATGCGTAAACTCGATCGTTTAAGATGTGTATTTGGATCATTTATATTGAGACCATTTTGTTGTGCTGTCTTAAGTAGAAGACTATGACATACCTCTGAAAACATTCCATCGCCACCAACAGATATAAGACCGTCATACTCATCGAGCGTTTGCTCATGGATATAATCTCGTGCATGATTGGCACGTTCCGTATAAATCGTATTTACACTTATATTAGCTTCTTCAAATAATGGTAATACTTGTTCTTCATATACAGAACCTCCTTTGTCTAAAATGAGAGTATCGTGTAAATCTATAA